ACAATTTTGGTATTATGAAAGAAAAAAAATCTAGAATAGGTTATTTCAGCAATAAAAAAATAGTAAGGTTATTCTAGCTATTTAACAAAAAAAGTAAGTTATTATAGCTAATCTCCCAAAAATGTATAACAAATGTCATCGGAATCCGGTTTAGTCGTCGAATAAGTAAATGAACCGGTAAATCTTAAGAACCAAAATAATTAAACCGAGCGGATAAGGGTTTAATGGTTGATGCGATTGCAGGTTTTATGCGATTTAGGGTTTAATGGTTGATGCGATTACGAGTTTTACGCGGTTTTTAGATATGATTTAAGAAGGTTATTTGGTAAGATTTGATTTTGTTTCTTAGTTAGGTTAATGAGAAGCAACACGATTTTAGAGATTACTCTAATGAAATATGGGATTTTTATCACAGAAGAGAGGTATTTCTCTTAATTCACCTTCCTTCTAAGCTTTTCTAAATTTCTCTGTCTAAGCTTTTCTAAACTTCTCTGTTTCTAACAAGTTTCTTTTATTCAGTAAATTTTTATTCTTCCGACAAACTATTTGGAGAACAATGGTGTGTCTACTAAGAGAAGGAACTGGCTTGTTAACCGGTTGATGTTCCCCCATGATAAACTCAACCTAAGCAGAGAGTCTATTCTCCGTGCGGTGAATCTTGGATCGATTCCTTTTCTTGGACAAACAGTAACCCGGACCGAAATGTTGCTAGTTAGAATCTCGTGTCTCCTTATATCGATTAAGGTGGAGGATAAATGCAGAAAGAAGGAGATAGATGACGTAATCTATTTATCATCTATTTCCGCTCGAAACCCCACTTCTAGGACTAATGTTCTCGAGATGGAGCTTATGATTCTTCGAAAATGCTATTGTATAAAGTAAACAAGGGGTAAAGTAATCTTCTCATTACACCTGGCTTTGATGATTATATTAGTATGTTAGTTTCTTAAAGAGAATCTCAAAACATGTTACTGTTGCCAATTTATCTTTAATGTAAATGAAAGCAAAATAAAACAATGTACAAAACTGGCACTAGGTAAGACTGTTTCACAACGGTTGTTTGAACAGAGCAAAGCGTACATGATACACGTGTGCGAGAACTATGGACTCATCGCCATAGCAAACCTGGAGAAAAATTATTTTGTATGTAGAGGTTGCAAGAACAAAATAAATATTGTTCAGGTAAGCTTCCAAAACTTTAAACGGTTTGATTTCATCTTTTATCTCTTTTGTGCTTGGTTGTTTGATGGAATTTCATCTTAATCTTAACAGGTTCACATTCCACATAAGGATTTATCATAGATGATGTGATTTCGTGTTCAATTTTTTCATTTACAAGATTTAGAATACTAGTTTCTTAATTAACTTCTGATTTTGTAAGGATTTTAAGTTTTTCATTTTGTATATGAATAGATTTGTTGATAATAATTGTTTAATAAACATATAACTTTAAATCAGACCATTTAACCTTAACAGATTTAACAACATGTCTGTTTCCATTATATAAATGAATGAATTATATAAATGTGTAACAAATCTCTATTTTCTCTATCACCAGATATTGTGAACCCTATATATATATTCTTCCTCTCAATTTAGTTCAGATTTCTACATGTAATTTAAAGATTTCTTCTTTTTTTTTTTTACAACAAAAACTCCTTATATTTATTTAAACCGGGAGA